TTATCTTTTCCAAAAGTTTACCGGCCGTATCAATCATACATAGCGGGCGGTAGCCTGATGCATCTTGTACGTTATTGCCCTTTGGTATAAGCACCAACCTTTATATTTTCCATATCTGGGGAATGTTCTCTCCTTTATACATGCGTTGAACACTTCCCTGAATGAATCAACGTTGATTTCTGTGGCCATCTTTAGTGCCAGATTTGGTATTCCATCTATTCCAGGTGCTTTGGTTAGTTTCAAACCTTTGCATACTACTTCCAATTCTTGCCTGCTAACCTCAGGTATTTCATTCTGTGGCTCACTATCTTGTACTGTATAGGTTATATCAGCTCTCTGCGGGAAGAGACCTTCAACTATTGCTTGTAGCTTAGCTGCGTCTGTTGTAACTGGTGGACGGTAGCTATATAATTTTTTCATAACGACTTTATATCCTAGTCCCCAGGGGTTATTATCGACCTCCTCACACATTTCCTTGAAGCATCTTGCCTTGCTATTCGATATCGCCTTTTTTAGTTCAGTTCTCGATGTTTTATAGGCTTCTTGGTGCGCTATAAAATTTTCGCGACCCCTTGCTCTTTGACATAGTCGTCGCGCGTGTTTGCATTTTCTTCTCAGTTCGGAAATTTGGTCAGTCCACCAATACACATGTTGTCTGCCATTCCGCCGGCCTTTCTTTGCCATAGATGCGTTACATGAATTTGTTATGCAGCGCATCAGTTGTATTGCTTTATCATTCGCACTGCCAGTTAGGTGGATGTCGTCCATTGAGAGCTTAAAAGCTTCTTTGTCCAAAGTTAACTCCTTCCATAGCGGATTTGGAGTGGCTACCGCAGGAATGGTTCTTGCTGAGCGGTCATGTATTTCGAATATGATAGCTTGGTGGTCACTATGTGTGTAGATATCTGACACTTGCCACTCAGTTGAATTAGCTAGTGGATCGCTGATAAATGTCAAATCAATCTTAGAGCTTCTACCGTTCCTTGTGAATGTATCCTTTTGGCCGCAGTTCAGTAATACTACATCCAGGGTGGCCAATGCTTCTAGGAGGCACTCTCCCCTGGGGTTTGTCAATGTTGAGCCCCATTCAATGGCCCAGGCATTGAAGTCACCGGCAATCACTATCGGCTTCATATCTTTAGCGTCGCTAACAATATTGTCCAGTCTTTGTTTGTATTCTTCGATTGATAGACTGGGGGGTAAATAACAGCTGAAAAACGTTATTCCATTCACTGTACTTTTTACGTATGCTTCCCCTCCGTCGAAGACCTTCTCTAGTGGGAATTTACCACACGTCCATATCGATGCATTGTTGCACTTGCTGGTAGCCCAGCAGTGATTGTCTAGTGTACTATAATGTTCGCTCATTATAGCTAGATCTATTTTTAATTCGCGTACAGTCTGCTTTAACAGATCCTGTGCCGCTTCACAGTGGTTTAAGTTCAGCTGTAAAACTTTCATCTTTTTTTATTTAGTATCCTCCGGCGGGCAGTCAAGTAGTGGGGACATTTAGGTCCTCCCGTAATATGGTTAGCGTCAATATTTGTGTCAGTTCTACAAAGTAGGCAGTGAGGGGCACCTTGACACGCTTTAGCAAGGTGGTCCTCTCCACCACACTTGTAGCAGTGTTTTGACCAGTCTTTGGAGCTCTGACAGTTCCTTGCCACATGTCCAAAATCGAAGCATTTGTAACATCTCCTGGGGGTAACTTTTTGGAGTAATCGGCACACGGTCCATCCAACTCGTAGTTTGCCCACCTCCTCAGCTTTACCGGCCTGCTTCTTTGGTATTACAATTATAGCCGTTCTGGTACCTCCAGTGGCATTTCTTATTGTTTTGATCGCCGAGGGATGTATTTCGCCTATTTGGTTTTTCCATGCATCAATTATTTCCTCTTCTGTGGTTATTTCGTCCAGGTATCATAGTTCAAAGGTAGCTTCCTCCGTTAGCGTTTTGACCTCTATTTCCTCAGGTAGTATACTTTTGATGTGGTCTTGGTGGACACTTGTTATTGTTTCTGCTGATCTTTTGAATTCAAGCAGAAGTTCCCCTTTTTGTGTTTTCCTGATAGAGTGAACATCATTACCGACTGCTTTAAGCTCTGGAGCTCCTTTTACTTTCCGGAGTATGTCCGCAAAGGAAAGTTTCTCAGACGGTTTAATAATCACTACATCCGGTCGAGGTGGTTTCACGCGTTTTTTTGTTTGTAAAACCCAAGCGTGTCGTTTGTTGTTGTCTTCAATTGGTGCTTGAGGTACATCAGCGTTGCCGTTCGTCCCGGCCACCGTATCTAAGTTGCTTTCCAATGCTTTCCTTGGCTCCTTAGACTTAGTATTATTTGCCCCCACGGGTCGATTTGTTTTCGTCTTCTTAGGCGGTGTCTTCCTACTTTTTTCGATTTCTTCTCTTAACCGTTTGGATATAACTGGTGTTTGCTGCGGCTGAATTGTTTGGGTACCTCTATCGTTCGTTTTAGCAGTGATAGTTTTATTTGGTGTCTCTTCGGCAGTTCTTTTATAGAGCGATGATATCAATGCAACAAGATCACGCATTGCTTGGTGGATGGACCTTCTTCCTCCACCCATCATCTCATTTAGCTCGGATATTTTGTCCCCGAATTTAATGAACGCTTCCCTTTTCACTTTTGGAACACTGTTCCCATTAAGCTCCGGAGGGGATGAGCGAGCTCTCTCGTTATTTTGCCTCTCTTGTGATAGCACAGGTGAGTGTGTTAGTCTCGGCGCACAGCACAAATGTGTGTGCACGAATCTGTGTGCACAATCAATCGCTTTGTGCGATGTGAAATTTAAAATCGCACAACAAATTTGAGTGCGTGCATTTTTTTTCTTAACACCACAAATGTGCGTGTGCATATTTTAAAAATAATTTCCACTCGCACAGTGCAGTGTGCGATTTTGTGCACCACATTCCGAACTCTGGTTTATTCTTTCTCACCTTAATTTGCTCTCTGCATTACAAATGTTTTATGGGTACGCGATGTCAAAATTGTTATTCAAAATTGGTTTTCTACGTCATACATGACTTCAAATGAAATTTATATTACTACTTAAAAGTTTTTGAGTTATAAAGAATTAAAGAATTATCCATTTCGCGGTCCTGGCAACACTGTCTCAGTAACATTTCAAACAGAATAGTCATCTGAACATAATGTGGTTAATTATCCACGTTGTAAAGTTTCAGATCCGAGAAAATCCACAAATAAAGTCTATATAATTTTCAGAAGTTCTACACTGACGAAATTCTAAAGTTACTCGAAAAATAGTAAACTGAAAAAATTTTTCAAAAATACACCAAAACATATAACTACTACACCAATGTATGTGTAATATAAGATACATATAAGATATATTGCTTTTGATATAATTTTCTTATTTTCAAAATTGAAAACTTTCACAGCAAAGCAACAAAACTCCAGAAAAATGTACGAACATAAAAGTCAAGTACAGCTTTGGGTCAGTTGGTTAAGGAGAGCTGACTCCGAGCTTCTAATTTGACAGGGCACGATTCATTGGTACTTGTAGTCTCAAAAAATTATTTAGGAATAATTAAATACAAGAAATATTTCCAAGACCACTGATGCTGGGTGTTTGGCAATACTCAGAACAAAAAATAATAATAATAATAAAGAAGAAATGTCAACCAAAAATTCAATTCATTCAAAATATAAAAAAAAAAATTTTTTTTTGTTGTAGTTTACTACTTTTCGCAAACGTCAAAAACATTACTCAAGGCGAAATGCAAATCTAGGTCTTTAGCTATTTTCTTGTATTATATATCAAAACATTTTAATTCACTTTAGATATCGATTGTAGGATATCGGTGAGTGATAAGTGTTCGTAACATAAAAAGTACTGATGACATTTTCTCAAAATTGTCAATAATTTTTAATAAAATCAGTTAAATAATCTATTAGGTATCAAATTAAAAATTATTTAATAGACTAAAAATTGAAACTTAAGCAATGTAGGCAGGTTATATTTGATTTTATGGCTGACGTTTTTTTCTGTGTTTTTTCTGGATATTCTGATATCTGAATCAATTCAAACTCAATACAAAACAAGGAATTATTTCTATCCCAAATTTAGTTTTGTAGATAATAGAAAAGCAATCTTAAGAGTAATACATTGGTCACCCCTAAAAGCCATGTAATTTCTCGAGACAAATCCACATACAAAACGAAATTTAACTTTAAAAGTTTAATTAGAAATCAATAAATAAAATATTTTTTTTACTTACTTACTAAACTTTATCAAAAAATTTTTTTTTTGAATAAAATACGGCAAAATCTAAACATCCATATACAATGATAAATATTAATTATGTAGGATTTATGCTATATATGTGGTACAACTTACTGATGTATCTACAGGTGTTTTGTAATATATTTCTGATATTTTTTAAAAAAATTTATTAACACTCAATCTTAATACACATAAAACGGAATTTTTATATCACCTTGCAATACCCATCAATGAAATAAGAATACCCATTAGCATACTTTAAAAAACGAATATTTTATAGTAAAAATAAGAACAATAAGAGTTCGATAATCATGAATTTATTCAAATTTTTAGATTGCCTGGTTCCACTGTGTGAAATTATCCAACTTCGATAGTAAGCAACATCTGTGTATATACCAGGATATCCCCAACCGCACCCTATACCGTGAGAAACGACTCCACATAAAAGTTCATTGCATATAAGAGGTCCTCCTGAATCTCCCTGACAGGAATCCATTTCTGGAGTTCTACGATTTACTGCACACATCATACCTTTAGAAAAATTTTTCGTAAAAGCTTCGCAAACTACATTATGTAATATCTGCAGGTCAGCAAATAAGATATTATCTGGAGATGGGCCAAGCTAAAAGAAACATATAACAGCTTAATAATCACTAGTTGTGAAGTTAAGCTGGCTTGCTTACATAATATATAGATCCCCAACCTCCTATGGTGCATTTAATATTAAGCCCAGGCTTTTCTTTTGCTATAGATATTGACATTACAGTCCTACCATCAAATATAAGACTGTCTTGCAATTGCAAGATACCTATATCTGCCTTTGAAATATTTGGGTCATATTGTGGGTGCACATGTGATTTACTTACCGCCATCTTTTGAGTTGTGGTTGTGGCTCTTAAGCGAAATCTTGATCCAGCAATTACGGATAATTCAGAGATTGGGATTTTTTCAGTTGAATTGCTAAATCATACTTTTTTTATTATGAATGCATTTCTTTTATACTTTTGTGAATAAACTTACATGAACACTATACAATGTGCAGCAGTTAAAATAGTGCGTTTTGATATGATAGCTCCACCACATATATCATTATCACCGTAAGCGATTTGGTAAGTTCCAATTCTGATAGAAACTATAAACTTTGTTAATAAACTGTCATCGTTTCTGTAACCTCCTACAATTAGTTGGTTAAAGTCTTCGTCATTATTGTCAGTATTTCCACGAATATTATGGAAAAATAAAATTAAAATAATAGAAAATACAAAAAAATTCATCTGATTGTAAATTTCTTGAACTTTCTGCATCCCCGACATAGAGAATTATATCAAATTTTTACAAAAACTATATAAATTATTTGATAATTAAGTCAAAGTTCTATGTTCTGTAAATTTGAAGTTTCTGATTTTTCTTCAAATTTTTTAATGGTTTTTGTATTAGAAGTACATATATATTCGTATATATGATGACGTATGGTATATCTATTCAACACATTTATGTGCTATACATAGTACATGTTTATGATGTTATGTTAATTAAAATTTAATGTCAACCACGTTCTCACAAATACTAATTCTTGCACATAACTTTTGGTTATGAATAGTATGGACATATACTGAGGTTTAAACTTAGTTGAAGCCTTTGGAATATCTCATTATCTTTTGCTTCAGTTGATATGAATATTCCTAAAGACAAAATGTAATGAACCGTAGTTCAATTAATTTTTGCAATTCTTCAAACTAAATACTTTATTTACTTTATTTTTGAACAAAACATTAGATACAAAGAAGCTTAAGTTTAAAAAATATAGTAAATTTTTTGCAAAGATACCATATCCATGAGTCGGTAGCTCATGGACTCATTCATACACTCACTCGTATATATTTTTAAACTTGATTTTAATGTCAATAAGACAAAAGTGGCTATTTATTTTAATAGAAACTATGGTATTTAATAGAGAGGTTTCGAAAAGTATTGTACTATAACAACAAAAATTCTTTTCATATTATTCTAATTAATTGAATTTTTGGCTGTCCATACAGCTGTTTCGAGCATTGTCAAATACTCATTTGTATTGCATCTTGTATTTAATTATTTGTAAATAATTTTTTAAGACTGTAAGTACCAGGGATTGTACTCGTGCCCTGGTAAATTTGAAGCTCAGAGTCAGTATTCATGAGCCAACTGACCCAAACCCATACTTGACTTGTGTGTTCGCATTTTTTTCTGAGCTGTAGAACAATTGCATTATATTTTTTATTTTTAATACTTCTAATAATTCAATACACAATAATATTTTTTTTTAAATATTTAGTATTTTCGAGTAATATTTAACTATATGTAAATTCGCTTTAAAATATATTTGCAATAATTTATTTTATATATATTCAAACATAAACATAAATATACATATGTTCTATGTTTAAGTTGTAGTTTGTTAGGAGTTAATGTCAATCAAGAACTGTACTTCCATTAATGCCTGCCGAAATAAATGTGCCTCTTAATATCATCTGCTGTCGTTATAAATTAAGATGAAGTAATGTTTAGAAGTATTATGAAGTAAAGGCAGTTATAAATGGGTGAATAAATAATTCTGACGACAAAATAGTATCTTCATTAAATCACTTCGATGGCACATAACACCAAAATTGCTAAAAGAAACCTAAATGCTGAGTATACACTAAAATCAGTTTTAAACAAAGAACCGCTAAACGGCTTATAATAAATAAATATAAGTTAAAAATAATATATGGAATATATATGGAACTATTTGGTTTGCAGATAGGAAGAAATACATCTGCTTATGTGTTGCTTCAAATCATAACGTTTTCAATTCCTTGAGCGGAAATTATTTAGTTCAAAATTTAATAATTTTAACAATAATTTTAAACCATATGGTAATTATTTTTTAAAAGTGCTTTACTCTTGTGATATTATAAAATTTTCTTTTAGAATTTTTTCTATTTGCCTGTTGACTGCCAATTAAACCAACCTCCCATGTGAACGTCGATTAAGCACAATGTCGTCATTAACATAAATTTTCTTGTGCATAGAGATGTGCTTCGTATCGAATAAGTATTTTTTTACCCTTAAAGTAACAACCACCGTAAATACGACTATAGGAGTCTTCTATAAGATAGGATGTATTCACTTGATGTTATAATGTTACAATAAAGTAAATATTTTTATTATTATTTAATTATGTATTATTTAATTATGTTCTCTTCATTTAAGTTAATCGACTTGCATTTTACCATCATATTAGTCGGTTTTTCTACATTTTATTTGTCGCTCTGTCTTAATATTTTATTAAAAAGAAAATGGACATTTCAATTAAAATATATCAAACTCAATTACTTGATTTTTATTAAATATAATATATGTCAAAGTCACCACCTTACGATGTTAAGATGGTATAATTAATTTAATTACAAATATATTACTGTAGTAGTAATTAATAAATATGTTTGCATTTCTTTCAAACCTTTACTCAATCGTAAAAATTTTGCACCAATATACCTAATAATAGTGGAATGAATTCGAGTTTACATAAATAATAGTTTAGCATTGTTGCAGAATTTTCTATTATCCACTCTCTGTAGTGAGCAATGTCAGTGTAGACGCTCGGGAAACTATCACCGCAATCGTAGCCAAAGGAAACGACTCCACATAAACGGTATCCGCAGATAAGTGGACCCCCTGAATCTCCCTGACAAGCATCCATTTCAGGAGCTTTAAAATTTTTCGCACATATCATACCAAACTCATAATGGGGTATAAGTGATCGACAAGCACTCTGACTTAATATTTGCAGGTCAGCGAACAAAATGAGGTCTGGACTTGGACCATGCTAAAAGCAAAATGTGTAAGTTAGATGTAATTACGAGATTTGCGTATGAGATAATTTGCTTACATAATAAACAGAACCCCATCCTCCCGTTGTACATTGAGTGTAAGGGTACGGTGTAACTTTCGCTAGAGGTATTGGCGCCACAGTTGTACCATCAAATACAAAATTCTTCATCATACGCAAAATACCTATATCTGCAATATGACCAGTTGATGAATACATTGGATGGACAATTGATGATTTTACATATATTTTTTGCGTTGCTTTTGTAGACTTCAAGCGTTGTTTTGACCCAGCAACTACATACATCCTATCAACTGGAGTTTTTATATTTGTTTTTCTAAGTTATAAATATTTTAATATATATGTCTTAGTTATTTTATTAAACTTACACGTCTACTAGACAATGGGCCGCTGTGATGACACTCTTCCTGGATATAACAGCGCCTCCGCATATATCATTGTCACCATCAGATATTGTGAACTCCCCTGATCTGACAGAAACTATAAATTTTGATAATGTACTATCCTTAATGCGATAACCACCGACAATCAGATGTGTAAACTCTTCATCATCATAATTGTATTGTCCATGAATAGGATTAAGAAAGAGTAAAGCAATAATTGTCACGAAATATTTCATCTTAACAAATACTGAAAAATAAAATTTTTTGTTAAAAGTTAACAAATTATTTGACAGTTGCATTAAAAATATTTATCTTTAATAAATTGTAACTTAACGTCAGTTGTAACGATAGTGACTATTTACTCAATAGAAACTATTATATTTTTGTTAAAGAGGTTTCGAAAACTAGTGAACACAACAATAAAAGCTTTTTTTTTCATATTATGAAAATAATCCAATTTTTGACTGTTCTGAGTATTGCCAAATACTACAAAATGGAATTTCTTCAAAATTTCATAAAATTCCAAATAACTACAGAAATAATTTTTTATGGAAATTTTATATGCATGTATATATCATAAAACTATAAAACATCTTAAAATAAATACTTCTGGATCTAAGTGATATAGTAAGAGTAATAATTTAAGAGTAATAAGAGTAAGGATATAGTAAGAGTCCAGAAAATACTTTTTGATTTTGATTGTCTACTTATTTTTCATACACTGTGCGTCGACAATATTAAATAAAAAAATATTAAGGTTATTCAAGATCTCTTTGCATTATTACATTTTACAAAGTTATTGGATTTTACAAAAACAATTCTCTTTCTTATGATTCTGCAATTGATTTCCAAGGTAATATGCAAGAACATATTGTCAACACCAATTATCACTTGCATAGGTATGTGATTTTCAAGACTTTATTGTGAAATATACTACCTTTTTTACTGTTTGCTGGGCAATACTTTATCAAGTTTTGTTCACAATTCTGTAATTTTGCATCCATTTTACATATAAGAAAGTGGTATATTGTACATATAAATGCACAAATCTAAATTCAATATATTCTACTTTTCACCTTCAGTAAATACAAAAACAAAAATCAGCTGTTCTAAATGTATGCAAGACTAATATCCACAAAATTTATTCACGATTATTTGAGTTTGCAATGATGCACGTTCAACGACGCACACAGATATCTTGTTACACCTATTTTTATATTATTACTTCGTGTTTTAATTTAAAACTGCATTCACACGAGAGTTTTGCTTGTAATTTTAGCTGTCAAAAATTTCAGAAATTCTTGCTACATCTGGCAACATCAAATAATAAAAAATAAATATATTGGTAGAGTGAAGCAAATTTATTCTTCCAAGAGTATATAACACATTAGAGGTATTCACTCTCTCTTGAAAACTCATTGCAAGATGCACGAATTGCAAGAATGCTATACAAAAACTGCAAGACTGCGAGACGGCTCTGTTGCAGAATTGCATCATCGAAATGAATCAGCTGTTTTTGCAACCATATCACATTGAGCAAAGAATAAATAAAAGTATAACAATGCCGCGAACAAGTGAAACACAAAAATGTATAGATATTTTGATTGAAAATAGTTCTTTTACTATTCTGACATATAACATATTCTGACATAATAAGATATATAACATATAAATTCTGCTTCCTCCTGCAGAAATTCAATTATTTGGAGCACTTCCAACTCCGTCCACTTTTTGTGCGGCTGCAACCTTTTCTTTTTAGTTGCTGGTGCTTCGTCTTCCATTTTTATCTGAAAATAATTATAAAATTTTAAATAACCATAATTTGTATAATATTTTAACAAACCTACTTTTCGCTACCAAACTCAAATTTAAAAATAAGAAGCAACAAATGTCAAAACAGCTGATTTCTGCCATTTTTGTTTCCTTGCAAGCAAATATACATAGGTTTTAGTA